ATGCCCCCGTGGGGCAGGGTGGGCAGTGCCAGGCTCCCCACTAACCCCTGTCTGCCTCAGCGCCTCGCCATCGCCAAGGAGTTTGGGGACAAGGCAGCTGAGCGACGAGCCTACAGCAACCTGGGCAATGCCCACGTCTTCCTGGGCAGGTTCGACATCTCCGCCGAGTACTACAAGTAAGTGCCAGGGGGTGAGGCTCAGGGCACGTGCCCCCCTGGGAATCCTGCCCTGCCACAGGGAAATCATACGTTCAGGGGGGTCTGATGAGGGATTTGGAGGCCAGTTGTATGGGTGGTGGCTTTCCTGGGGCCTGGCAGTGAGCAGGTCTCTTCATTCCCATCTCTTCCGTGCAGGAAAACGCTCCAAGTCTCCAGACAACTCAAAGACCAGGCAGTAGAAGCCCAGGCTTGCTACAGCCTTGGGAACACCTACACGCTGCTTCAGGACTATGAAAGAGCCATCGAGTACCACCTAAAACACCTGGTGATAGCACAGGAGCTGGGAGACAGGTAAAGGAGGAGGTGGTATCTCTGCTCTGGCGGGTCCAGAGCACCCTGTTGACTCTCTGTCCTCTGCTGCTGGGGTTAGGTAGCAGAGCTGTGTTCCTGAAAGTCTCTAGAAAGCTCTTGGAACTCAAACCTTGCTCCAGTTCTCTGTCAAAAACATCCCATGCCTGACACCTTTGTGATGTCATTCAGCCCTGGGGATCGTGCTCTTAACGCTGGGGCTGCGTGGGCTGAGTGAGGTTTGGAATGAGGCACTCCAAGGGGCTGCATTGTCTTCGGTGCTTCGCCACGTGGCTGCTGCTGTTCTGCCCCTGAAGGGCCCCTCTGAAGCTCCCTCGAGTTCACAACAGTTGTATCTTCATCAGAAACAGTGTGGTGAGGGGGTACAGCCACGTCACCCTTGTCCTGTTGCTCAGGATGCTGCAAACTTCTGTGTAGAAAGAGATGATCTTCCATAGAGCACATGGAGATGATATGTTTTGCTTCTTGGCCTCATTCCTTCTTCTTTAGGAGGCATGGCCTCTTTTTTTAAATGTATTTTTTTAAAAGAGGGGTTGGTTCCTTTCACCTGGGTGCTGTCTCTGTGATCCTGGAGCCTTCTTGCAGCTGAAGTGACTCTGCAGGCACCTCGCTCAGGGCTCCTGCGGGTGGGAAGCTGTGTCCTCCACTAGATGGAGCAGAGGCATTAGGATGGGAGCTCTGTGACAGCATCTGCTGGGAGGAGGTAGAATCCCACCCAAGGGTGAATCACACTGTGGGGGTTGCAGGCCTGTGGGCTCCTGCCTCTCTGGGAACACACCCTTAGGAGCAGAAGGTATTGAACGGGGTGACAAGAAAAACGTTTCCATGCTGATCAACCCGCCCAAACCTCCGAAGAGGGAGCTGCAGTCAGGCTGAACCTCCCCCCGCGCCCCCAGGGGCTTTTTTTATCCCATCTCCCCCCACATCTGCTCGTTTGCAGAGCTGAGCAGGCTCTGAGGAGCAGCAGGGCTCTGCCAGCTTGTGCAAACGGGTGCTGGAACCTGCTCTGGGGGCACCCAGGGGCTGGGGGTGAGGGTTGCCCGGGGCAGGTGTCCCCTTCCCCTGCCCACCCTGGCTGCTGGCAACGAGCAGCAGCACCCTGGAGCCCCTGTGGCCATAGCTCCACCTTTGCTTGGCTGTCACAGCAGTTCCAGCCTGTGTGTCCTGCTGCTGGTGTGTGGCAGGAGAAGGTTGTGTGCCTGCAAGGTTCTCTCCTTGCTGTGTTCCTGCTGGCTTAGCTCTGGGCTTGTTGTTGAGCAGGGGGCTGGATGCTCCACGTCCTCTTGGTGCACGGTGCACCTCTGGAGAGGAATCCTTGCTGTGTGAGGTGGGAGCTGCACAGGAGCTCTGCCTTCTGCTCTCTCTTCTTCTCCCTCTTCTGCCTGGTGCTCACAAATGAAGCCAAACCATCCTGGGCCCTTGCTACACTGTTTGCCTCTGCTGCTGAGGCTGTTGCTCATCCCCTGATGTTAGTGACATCAGCAGGGGAAGAGTTTAAGGTGTACAAACTCTTCATTTTCCTTAGTAGAACCTTTCTGTGGGTGAGAACACAGCTAGGAGACCTGGCTGGTGGTGCTCTCAAGGAGGCCCTGAAAGGGCTGCTGTGCTGCTGGGCTTTGCCAGCATTTCTGTGGTTGACAGTTTCCTGTTCTGCAGGGTGGGAGAAGGAAGAGCCTGCTGGAGTCTGGGAAATGCCTATGTGTCCCTGGGGAGCCATGAGCAAGCGTTGCACTTTGCAAGGAAACATCTTGAAATCTCCCAAGAGGTAAGAGGAGCTCGTTCAGATGGGAGGGAATCAGTCCTCCCCGTTGAGAGGATGACTTTTGTATGCCAATAAGTTATCTTAAGGTAGTTCTTCTCTTGCTCTGACTGCTCTGGAAAGCCCTTGTCTGTGGGGTGTTTCAATGGTGTCTTTAGGAACTGCAGAGCTTGGCTGGAAAAATGTTCTTTTTCTGGGAGGCTGCCAGCCTTCCCCTTAATTACAGCTGATACATTTGCTGTACATGGCTCTTCACTGAAGGAGAAAGGACCTGGGGATTAGTTGTCCTGTCTGCTGGCCAAGGTCTTGTGCTGCCAGCTAGTGTGGGGTAACTCGGGTAGCTCTTGGAGAGCTCTCGTGCCTGAGCACAAGGCTGTGAGATCCTGAGGGGGATTTTGGGATCCTAGTTTGCTGGCAGGTTAAGGGCCTGGAGAGAAGGAGACCAGGTTCTGCCCAGTGGCTGGCTGCCCTGAACCTGCAGCACCTCACCCCACAGCAGAGTGCAGCTCGGGCAGGACATCCCCTCTGTTGGAGCTGGCAGGGGGGCAGGAGCTGGCTGTGAGGTCACCTCCAACATCACCCTAACTCCATGGCTGGCTGACGTTGGATGAGCACAGCCTGCAGCTACCCCTGCCCTGCTCTTGCCCCCTCTGGGGCTCCCTGTGTGCAGCTCCTCAGAGCTGGGCTCGCCCAGCAAGCTGCAGCTTTCCTGCTGCCAGAGCAGGAGGCGTTTGGAGGTGGCTCAGGAGCCCAGGGAGCAGGAATTCCACTGCTTGCCCTTTGCAGCCTGTTGTGAGGAGATTGGCCCTGGCCTCTTTACTCTTCCCCAGATGAAGAAATGACCCTGTTGAAGCCCTAATTGAAATCACCATAAGTGCTCTGTGTGCTCTGCCTGGCTATTAGGCTGCCGAAATCCTGGGGTAGGGCTGACGTCCCGGCCTAATTAGCTATTTAATTATACTTAGCAGACATGAAGAAGAAATTTCTTTGGCCCTGTACGTTTTAGGACAAATTAACTCTTCCAGCTTTGCTCTGACTGCAGCAGTGGGGGGCTGGTTGCTCTGAGGGGGGTGGCAGCTCAGTGGTGTGTGGGGACAGCAGGACAGGAGCAGCAGTGGTGCTGGACAGGAGCAGTGGTGGTGCTGGTGACCCTGGGGGTGGAGGGGACACCCAACAGGGAAGGGGTTCACAGCTTTCTCCTTCTGGGGGTGAGGGCTGTGATTGCAGAACGTGTCAGGAGGAGGTTACTCATGGCAGCTGGCTGATAAACTCCCCCACACCATTAACTGTGGAGCAGTGCAGAGCCTGTCTGTTTGGGAGCAGAGCCTGCAGTGGTTTCCAGCAGCTGGTGCTTCTGTTACAAAGCTGAGGGGTTATTTGAGCCTTGGGACCCAAGTGTGTTGCTCCTGCTGTCGTGGCAAGCACCAGCTTTTTGCCCAGGAAAAACCTGGTGAAGTTAAACCTTTGCACACTGGTGTTCAGGACTTGCTGAAATCTGGTGGTGATGTCTTTACTCAAGTGAAGAGTGCTCAGGGTGACCACACTGGAAGCTGCTGCAAGGTGATCAGAGGTTACTGAAAAATTTCCTCTAAGACAGCTGGAGGAAAGGGTGTGTACCCAAAAAAACCCCCATGGAAGCTGCCCCAGCTCTCAGATGCTGCTCTGGAGCCACTTTTCCATCTCTGTGTGTGCTGGGGGGCTCCTGGGAAGCCCCCACAACCGAAGGCAGAAATCAGCTGTGTGGGGCAGGTCCTGCCTGGGCTCCTTGTCCTACCTGCATGTTCCTCTGGTGTTAACAGGGCCTTGGAGAGGATCTGGAATGAGTGGAAGTCACAGAAACATTTAACAGAGCATCAAGGACTGCGAGGCCCAACCAGGACATAGGAATTTCTCTGGAGATGGTGTCAGCAGCAAATCTCTTGTAATTGGCAGGGGATTTATGCCTGATAAGCTGTTTGATCTGCCTCCCTTTACGGGCATTTGGGGCTTTGTCAGGAATAATGTGGGGATTTGTGAGTCTGGTTTAGGATGGTCACTCTGCACTGTCTCCAAGGACCACAGCAGAGCTGTTGCCAAGCATTTCACAGGGCAGCAGCCAAGGTCTGCCTCTGCCACAGAGGCTGCTGCTGCTCTGGAGACTGGAGGCTGCTCCTGGGTGACCTCTGTGCCACTGGTGTTGTGCAGCACAGTTGTTTTCCTCTTTGGTTGAACTTTGACTCCCCGTTGTAGGTCGCAGGAGCCGTTGGGCAGATTTCTTCCTGAATGTGTAGCAGCAGCTTCCTCAGCCTCAGGCCAGTGAGAGATGGGAATTTGGGAAAATTTGGACTCAACAAGGTTTTGGAGAGTTGTGTGGGTAGATCAGTAGGAGCAGCTCAAAGCTGTATGGATCTGAGCCAGGAGAAAAGGGCTTTTGGAGCATCCATGCCCGGGGTGAGATGCTGCCCACATGGCTGGCTGGTGCTCAGCAGCTGTGGAGATGCTGGAGGAAGGGGCTGAGAGCTCCAGGGCTCCCTGCCAAGCCCTACGTGGCTCCAGGATGGACCAGACATGCACAGTCCCCCCTCAGCTCTGCGTCCCTGCAGTCCCTTGTCCCAAACTCAGCAGAACCACGTTCAGAGGTGCACGCACAGACCTCTCCCAAGCGACCCCCAGGAGAAGTTTGGGAGGGTTGTTTTGGTGTTGGGAGCTGTGCTGCGTGGTCTCCAAGCTCTCTGTTGGCTGGGTGTGTGTTTGCTTTGCTCTGAGACTGACACTTCCTCTAGCAGGGGCTGTTTGCTCAGGGCACGTCCCCTTTTAACCTGCTGCTCTGGGTTCTCTCCCTGCAGGTCGGGGACAAGGCAGGGGAGCTGACAGCTCAGGGCAACGTGGCCCAGCTCCAGCTGGCCCTCGGCTGGGGCCCTGGCCACCAGGACACGGGCACAGCTCATCCCTCTGCTGGCTATGAGGCACAAGGTGAGATCTGGGGCTTTGGCTGGCGTGGGGAGGGTCTGGTGGAAGCTGTGCCGTGGGGTGTGGGGGGCTTGCAAGTGGGAGGAAAGAGGAGTGGCAAAGCCAGATGAGGCTGTCAGGAGCCTTTACCTGCAAGGAAACTGCTGCATGAGTGCTCTGTGCTTTCCACAAGCTGCAAGGACAGGGAGAGATCTGCCTTGAAAAAGCCCCAGAAGGAATTCATGGAATTAGTGGGCATCGGGAGTGAAATTCCAATTTACCAAGCAGCAAATCAGCTTTTGTCCCTTCTAAAGCTCCACAGGGCCCTTTGGCTGATTTGGCTGATGAAGCAAGCTCTCAGAAGGTGACTGGCAGGGAGTTTGGGCTGCTCTCTTCTGATTAGCACCCGAGGAGCAAGGCTGCAGGCCGGGCTGAGGGCAGGCTGGCAGCACCAGCAGCCTGGGTCCCCTGGCCACCTGCAGTGACACCCAGCTTGGCAACAAAGGTGTGGCAAGACTTGCCCACAGCAGGCAAAATGCCTTTCCTCCTGCCAACCCGACCTGTGTCCCCAGCTCAGGGACCCTCTGCCTGTCCTGGGGCTGCCCACCACGGGCATGTGGGGCTGCCTGGCATGGGGCAGTGCCAGCTGGTTGCTCTGTTGCCATGGACAGATTTATTAGTGACAGATTTATGAATTCACACGGATGAAGGTGCCCCCTGGGAGGTGCCCACTGATTAAACAGGACCTTGGTGCTGCAGACATGGTTTCCCAGGTGGTGTGTCCTCTTTCCTTGCTGGTAGGAGTGACGTAGGGAGGGTGGTGCTGGGGTTGAGGCAGGGTGCTCTGGGAGGGAGAGGGGTTGGCTCGACGTGTTTGCTCTCTTATTGATCTTGCTACGTCAATGCTGAAGCTCTTCCTGGGCAGTGGAGCTGGGGGTGAGGGAGCCAGTGTGCCCTGCTGTGCCCTTCAGGAGCTGAGCTGCTTCCTCAAAGCCTGCGTGGGCCACAGCAGCTCCTTTGGCACCTCAGCTCCAGCTTGGTGACTGCTGGGAAACTATCTGGAGCCTTCCATGTGTTCCTGGCATCTCCTGTGGGGCTTCCTTTGGGAAGTGGGGTGCTGGGGGTGGAGGGGTGCAGGAGGAGGGCAGTGCCAAGGACTGTGTGGGCATGAGAGCACCATGTGCTGAGACATGGGTGTGTGAGATACTGTGGGTTGAGCCAGACTGGCCGTGTGGCATAACAAGGAGTGCACAGACTTCTCTTAGCTGGAAATAGTGGAAAAAACTCGAGTGGGTGGGTCTCTGCTCCCATAACACCCCCCCTGCTGCATCGTGCTTGGGCACAGCCTGCTCTGGACGGGGTTGGTGCCCTGCTGCAGGCAGGACTGGGGACCCTGGGGGTCAGGGAGGGTTTGATCTGAGCAGAGCCCTTCTCAGGGAGAGCTGAGCCTGGTGTGTGGCCGTGTCCCCCACACGGGTGGTGGCCCAGCCTCACAGCCTCCCTTGGCACAGCCCCATCTCACAGCAGGACACTGGGGAGTGTCCAGCCCTGCAGGGTTGGGATCCCCAGCTCACAGCAGTCCAGATGTGCTCGTGCCCTGTGAACATCTGGAGCCAGCAGTGATTTCTCTCTCTGCCCGTGGGGTGGAGGGGCTGAGCAGCCCCAGGCAGAGGCTGCAGTGACCTCTCCAAGCTGTGGGGCCATCACCCACGTTCCCAAGGCTGGGGCTGTTCCCAGCAGAAGGATCAAGTGTTCTCTGGAGGAGAACCAGCAGCGTGGGAGAGGGCTGGGGACAGGTTCCCTTGCAGAGCAGGGCTTCCCCAGTGGGCTGGGGGTGGTGGATGCCACCCTTCCCTGGGCCTGGGAACGTGCTGGGGAGAAAAATGGGCTGCCCTTGGGTCTCGTGGGCTGGGGCTGTGCAGCAGCACCTTGCCAGAGGAAAGGAGTGGGAGGGTGCAGCTCTTGGCCACGTAGGTGCTGTTAAACATGCATCTGGGGTGGGAGAGGTGCTGCCCCTGCTGCACAGGGGCTGGGAGAGAGGATGTAGGACAGCCCCTGGAGAGCAGCTTCACTCCCCTGATTTCTCCTTAGCTTTTATTCTGGCTTCAGCTCTCTCACTCTGAACTTCAGTGGAGGATAAGAGGGGCCATCAGTGCATCTCTGGGCACTTCAGGAGAAGGGAGATGTATTTAATGCCTGCCAAGAACTTTGTTACTCTCCTGTGCACCTATTAAATGATTAGAAGAGCATAATGATTTATATTATTAATAGCAGCAATTTACAGCAAGAGGAGAACCTGTTTCTCTAGTGGGAAGCAGGTGAGAGAGTTGAGATCCAAGTTAACTTCTGAACCAATTGTGCCTTTTGATGTTAACAGATCTCAAGGTGAGATTTCCTTTTCTTTTTCCCCCCCTTCAGATTATTTTCCCCTGAAATAGCCACATATAAGGGTGCTAGAGAGAGCAGGCGTGTTATAAACCATTGATTTCATCCAGCAGGTAAAGTTCCATAGCACACCTGAGTCCTGGGACAGTCTGTACTGTTGGCTGAGAAACCTTGAGCCAAACCATGAGCCTGGGATGTCCTTCACAGGTTCCTTCTGCTTCCAAGTCTTGGGCATTGTCCTCCAGCAGGGCCCCGGGGGTGGGAGGAGTGTCTGATGTTTCCCTCTGCTCGTTTGGCTCCTTTTGCTGAGCTCTTTGTGCTTTTAATTAATATTCTGAGAGCAATCGGATGTCAGAAGACAAAGCTGGAGGCCAAGGAAGCTGGGCAGTGCTGCAGAAGTCTTGTGAAAGCAACGACCTTGTCAAGGCATGCAAACACAGGGAGCTTGAAACAACAAACAGAAAGAAGCTCCAGAGTAGCTAAAACACGCAGCAAATAAACAGAGGTTGGGCTTGTTTCTCTAAACAACCAAAACCCTGGCCCTGAAAGCTGGTCCCCAGCTGGTCCCCTGCTCTCTCCCACACCACAGGATGAGAATTGAGTGCTGGTAGGCTTCTGCCTTTGGAGAGGAGCAAGGGAAGGCTCTTGGGGTGGGTTTGTAGGGGGGAAGGCAGCCCTGAGCCAGCAGCACTGCTGCCTGGTGCTGGGGGATGTCTCAGCCTGCCCTCACCCCAGCCCTCGGATCATTGAGCCCCAAAGAAGGGGCTCACCCACCACCAGAGGGGTGGAGGTGCTGGGCAGGAGGCAGAGAGCAGCCCTGGCCACCCCCAGTGCCTCCCTGGGCAGCTTTTCTGTTGCTCTCAGCAGCCTGGCAGCCCCAGTCCTCATCTCTGCTGGTGGTGGCAGCCCCAGGAGACACTGAGCAACCCCTCTTGGGGCTCTTGGGTGGGGAGGGGTGCAGGTGTCCCTGAGGCTGTTGGCATGTTGATGCTTTCAGCACCTTGGGCTGGCTCTTGGCGTGGGTCCTGTGCTGTTTGCAGTACACAGTCACTGCTGGGAGGGCAGGGGAGGACTTGGCCCTGAGCCTCCACTCTCTGCCCATGCTGGGGAAGAGCAGGCACCAGGTTGCTCTGCTTGTCTGGAGTTGGGGAGCCTCTGTGTGGGGTACTGCTGGCCCCTGCACGAGGGGCAGCTGTGCTGAGGTTGTGTTCTCCAGTGGGGAAGTGGGCAGCTGAGCCTGGGTGGGCATCAAACCCCACTCCTTGGGTGCCTTGGGTGTCTGTGCATCCCCAGTGCAGTTTTGAGCTTGCCTTCTTCACAGGAATCTTTGAACCCTTGCCTCAATTAGACAGGGAGAGAAGAAATCTGCTTTTATGTTTCCCAGCTTGTTTGTTTTTGTTTGTTTGCTTGCTTAAAACATCTTTGAAGTGCCTCAGAAGTGTTTAGGGCTGAGATGTGCCAGGTTGACCAGCCCTCTCTTCATGTGAGGCAGGGAGGCAGCCGTGCTGCTAACCCACACCAGCCTCTGCCCTGGGATGGTTCCACCTCTGGGGTTTGCTCAGCCCTCCTGTGAAGGACTGTGCTGGGTGACAGCTGAGATGTGGCCTCCTGAGACCAGCATCTCTGTGACAGGAGGCCAGCCCTGCTCTCTGAGGCTCTGATTTCAATGTCTTGGGACCATTTGCCTTCCACTCAGCAGATGACTTCAGGGGTCACACCACCAACAGCTTCAGCATGGAACCTGCCCTGTTCTTACCAAAATGAGTAAGCATAGTAATTGAAATTGCTCAATATTAAGTTTCTTCAGCTATATTTGATTTTTCCCAAGAGCTGACGGGCTGCAGCTCAGCCTTTTTTCCTTCTGAGGCTGAAAGCCTGGGGCTGTGCTGGGGAGTTGTACCTGCTTGTGCAGAGTTTTGGTGGGTGACCTTGTTGACTGAAGCAGAGTAGCTCTTGCCCAAGTGGAAGGCAGGATGCAAGGCAGTCTGGTTGCTTTATTTTGCACTAACAGATGCTTGTTGGAGCCCTAGCTCAGAGAAGTGCAAGCACAAGTGTTCCAGAGGTTGCTCATACCTTGCAGGAAGGTGTCTAAAAACACCCAAGCCCATGGTGGTCTGTGCATAAGGGAGGAGGGACAGGGGTGCTGCTTGCATGGGGGGCTTCTTGGGTGTAGATTTAGGACTTCTAAGGATGCTTCTGTTATCTTCAAAACGATTTCTTCCTAAATGTGAGTAACCTCTGCTGTTGCAGCTGTCAAATCATTCCAGCAGCACTGGTGGGGGGATGGATCTCTGACTCATTTGGATTTAAACGAGGTCCTTTAGCACTCAACTCCAGACTGCCCCAGGATTGGCTTGATGAAGTTTTAAAATACTCTTCCCAAGGTTTTAAGAAGTATTTAATGTTCCTCTCTCCTCTTGCTCTGTACACGAGCCTCCTCCCCAGCATCAGTGTGAGGTGCAGCCAGACTTCTCCCCTCACAGCAGAGGAAATGCTCCAGGACTAGGGGAGAAGATTGTCTGCTAATAAACTTAGGGGCTTGTTTTATCTTGATGCCAGGGGAGGCTGCAAGGGCTGGAAAGGAGGATGAGGAAGAGGCCAGTCCTTGAAGCCTGTGGCAAAGAAGGTACAGCGTGGCT